AGGAGAGGAGAAACTTCAAGAGACAGAGGTGGGAAGCATATTCTAGATGTCACAGACATTGAGAGCAAAGGCACAGGGATGGGACAGGAAAGGACAAGGATCGAACAAGAGGGGTGGAAAATAGTCCAGTTTTGCTGCAATATAGCCTCCAGGAAAAGAAGTGGAATGAGATACACTGGAGCCGGCTCACAAAGGCTCCTGGATGCCCTCTGCCCAAACATCTTCAGCCAGGTCATCTCCACCTGGATATCCACTCCACAAGAATCATGGACTCTGGAACCTCCCTGGGCTTTGGCAGGCCAGCTTTAGCCTTCTCTCACTTGGCTTTCCATAGAACTTTCCAGACATCTCTCCAGCCACACCAGTTCCTTTGAATGCGTCACTTTTCCTCCTTTTACTAGAATGTAAACTCCCTGAGGGCAAGGACTGTCTAGCATGCTTTTCTTTGTAATCTTTGTAAGCATTTCTTAAGGACCAGGCTCTGGCTAGTCTCTTGGGCCAGGCTCGTGGGGTCATAGACTCAGAGCTGAAAGGGACTCAAACTTTTGAGGATCTGAGAGATTTTCAGGAAACCTTAAATGGCACTGAGTCCAGTAACCCTCAGTTCACAGGTGAGTTTACAGCGAAGCTCAGAGAGAATTAGTGACTTGCTCAAGATCACACAAAGAGTAACTAGGAGTTTCAACTGGGTAGAGTAGCATGATCATAGCAATGCAATAATCAATCAAGAAACATTTATTAGGCACCTGCTGTGTGCCAAGCACTGTGCTAAGTCCTGGAGGCACTGTGCAGTGGACAGGGGGGAGATTGGTAGTAGGGAGATTAGCTAGGAGCCTCTTCCAGTAATCTAGGCAGAAAGAATTTAGGCAGTAACAGTGGGGATGGAGAGAAGGGGCTTGAGCCAAGAGCTATTGGATCAAGCAGAATTGACAGGATCAGCAACAGGCTGCCTGTAGGGGGTGAGGGAGAGAGAAGAGCCCCAGATGCTGCTGAGGTTATGAGCCCTGGTGCCTGGAAGAAGGGAAGTAGAGAAGTTAGGGGGCTTAAGAGGAGAGGGCGAGTTCATTTTGGGAGCTGTTGAGTTCAAGGGGCCCAAGCGACACCAGGTAGAGCTATCTAGAAGACAGTTCGAAAGTCAGGTCCCAGGAACTCTGGGGGAAAGTTGGGGAGGCAGGATTGGAAATATATATGTGGGACAACTGAAGCCCCAGTGAGAGTGTACCCCAAGAAGACAGCACTGGGGATCAGTCACATTGAAAAAGTGGGAGAAAGATGGGGATCAAGGCAAAGGACCAGAGAAGTAGTCAGCCAGTTAAAAGAAGAACCGGGGTAAGAGGAAGAGTGAAGGGAGGGGAAAGTTAACATAGAGTTTGTCACGGTCAAAGTCACTGACAAAGACACCTAATAAAACTGGCTTTGCATATGCTTAGGGCAGTTAGGTGGCGCTGCAGTAGGTAGACTCCTCTTCCTGAGTTCAAATCCAGCCTCAGATACTCACCAACTGTGTGACTCTGGGCATGTCACTTAGCCCTGTTTGCCTCAGTTTCCTCATCTGTAAAATGAGCTGGAGAGGAAAATGGTAAACCACTCCAGTATCTTTGCCAAGAAGACCCCGAATGGGGGTCACAAAGAGTCAGACATGACTGAAAAAAAGTGAACAAATGCATATGTTTTCACTAAGTGGCATATTCCCTAGTATGCTCACCTATAGACATTGGCACACTGGGTCCAAGAAAGCAAACTCAAAAAGCAGGTGGGCAAATGGCCTGGCAATCTTTTCTTGATGGGGGTTTCCTCTGGCTTTTCTTCAAATCTTATGAGCGGCTGCTCTAAGGGAGGGTTAAGTCAATTGTCAAGGAGGCCATCTTGCCCTGTGTCCAATGAGAGCTGTGCTGAGTGCTTGTCCTCATTCAGGGAGAATCCACCCCTGGCAGCGCTTCCCACTCCCTCCTTCCCGGGTAGCTCATTCCAACTCCAGCAGCTCTGAAGGGAGGCCAGCAGCTGAATGCCAGAGGGGCTATCTCCAGAACTCCCCACCCCGGGCCCCCACGCAGGAAATGTAGCTTCTCTCCCCCTTCTGTCCCTATCCCCAACCAGCCCAGGACAGCTGTATCTCCAGTCCTGATGTGAGAAGCATCAGTACTGCCTAGAGGTCCTGGGCTGGGGAGAGTGCAGAAGCCTAGAGAAGCTCCAAGGAACAGGTAAGAGAGCTCCATGGCATTGGAGTTCAGCAAGGAGAGAAGGGAGAAACACTGGGGATTAGAGAATGTCAGAGCTGGTGACCCCCTCAAGTTACAGGGAAGGAAACTGAGGCTGAGAGAGGGGAAGGGAGAGAGCCCAAAGCCTTAGCAAGCAGGGTCTGCAGGCCAGCCATAACCACAAAGTTGGAAGGTATCTTAGAAACCATCAAGTTCAATCCTCATTTCACATATTAGGAATTTGAGGCTCAGAGTAGAGAAGCATCTTTCTTGCCGGGGCAGGTCTTCTTAGTCCAAATGCAATGCCCTGCTCTGCATTCAGGTCAAGCTCTATGCCAGAGGGGCCCCTTTCTACCTCCCCAGACCTGGGGACCCCCTCCCTGAAGACTCTGTGGGCAGGAAGGAGCTCCCTCAGACATCTCAGGGGCACCCTTCCAGAACCACCCCCCTTTCCCAAGAAGCCCAGGCCAGCAGGGCACAGAGGAAAACCAAAGCCAGAAGGTTATCATCAAGTCTTACCATTTTATTTCTTTATGGGGTTAACAGGGAGCTGAGGAGCCTCTGTTCCCACCCCCCACCCCCCCCCCATCCCCAGCACAACAGAAACTGAAAGCAGTACACAGGTACATACACACACACACACACACACACACACACACACACACACAGAGACTGAACACAGAGTCAGAATATAAGAGTGAGGAGACAACTGAATTTTAGCGGGGGGGGGAGGGGGAGAGCAGCGGGTGGGCAGGTGGGGCAAGGGTAGTTCTTGGCAACTGGCTCAGAAAATGAATATCATAGGAACTAGTGCAAGAAAGGTCCTACTCATGAAGCACAGTGTAGAAAATGGAGTTAGAATCTGGCCAGTTGAGGGTAGAGGGAAGCAGCTGGGGAAGGGACAAAGGGAATGGGGGGCAGCTCACAAACGATGGGGGAAGTAGAAAGAATGACATCAAGGTTGACTTTGGTGCCTCCTGGCCACCCCCAGCCCACCATGGCCAAGGACCTAGGCTAGTCCGAGTTGGGCATCTCCTGGGCACTTGGGCTAGGGGAGGAGGTGCTATTGGTTTCCACAAGCCTGTTGCCCTGGGCTCCACCTGCAGAGGGCACTTCTGAGAGTCTCCTTTATCCTGGAGCCCCACTCCACTCTCCGTCCAAATACTTTAAGAAAAGCATCTCTGAGAACCGGGCCAAAGAGAGCGAGCTCCCTGGCTGGCTAGACCCCAGGGCTGAGCTACAGGATTTCAGAGCCTGCTGGGCAGGGAGGGTGGTGGTGGAGTAGAGCTGAGGACGGGAAACGCAGGGACAGAGTTGGGGCTTCATGCCGAGCCTGGTGGGGCCCCAACTCTGGGCTCTGTAGGTCACCCTTGCACACCCAAGCCTCCCTGAGCCCATTAGTTGAATGCAGTCCCAGACCTGCTTCACTCCCATCCACTCCTGGCCCCCTTAACCCACAATCCTTTTGCAATCCCCAGGTCCCCTCCCATTGGCTCCCAGTATCAGCTCTCAGGGGTCTTGGGTGAGAGGCCTTAACTGATTGAGAGCCTGCTGAAACTGAACTGGCTCCTAGCTCCTCCACGCTCTGAAGGCTTAGAGAATGGCACATCTCCAGGCTGTTGCTGTTCTCTCAGGTGCCCTTTAAATGGGTGGTTGGCACAAAGCCCTACTGAATCTGATCTTTGGTAGGTCAGGTGGGAGGCTCTCCCAGGCAGATCTCAGGCCTCCGTGGTAGCGCCGGTCCCTCCCCTCACTGAAGATTGGGTTGCTATGCAAGAGGAAAAGCCTGTGTGGGGCCCCGGGCCCCTAAATGCCTCCGACTCTAATCCTGAGCCACTTTCTCCATGGCCCTCCAAACTGAGTCTGAAAGGCTTCTATATCTTTGAGCCCAAGTGGAGGGAAAGTGTTTGGGCATCTGCTGCCTTCCCGCCGAAAAGCTTCCTCTCTGGGTCTCTGGTTTAAGCTGGTGGCCTCCTATTCAATGCTGCTGGGTGGGGAACAGAGACTACCCCATCTGCAAGCAGGCTTTCTGGACAGGCCAGCCTCCCAGGCGTCATAGCCTGTCTGCCTTCCCTTTTCTCTCCTCTCCAATAACCACGAGTATTCTGGGCTTTACTCAGTGCCCCGAATCTCCCCTTTCCTGTGTCTGCCAAGCCCCATTTCCACTCCTCTTCTCCCATCTCCTTGAGCCCCTTCCCTGTTCCCCTTCCTAAGTGGCTCCCTCGCTAATCCTTCCCTCCACTCCTGGACTCTTGCTCATACAGAAACCTTCCCCCTTGGCCCTCCTCAGCAGTGGGGTGCCACGTGAAGCTGGAGAAGCTGTCTGTTCCCTCACTTTGGCCCCAGGAAGAGGAAGGGTGCAAGGCTTTGAGATAAGGGAGGGCATGACCAGCTAACTCCTAGAAGTGTGGGGGTTGGGGGGGCGGGCTTTGCAGGAAATAAGGATTTCCTGGTAACACAAGAAATATAGTAGGGGGAACGCCTACTCTCCTCAGTACCCCCCCCCAAATACCTGCAGGCCTGGGGGTGGGACTAGGGGAACGGCTTGCTTCCTGGGGACAGGTCTCCAGGCTGGGGTGACTGTTCCCCCAGCCCTCTCTTCCCCTCTTTTTGGCTTGGACTTGGGGGAGGGCGCTGGCTGCTGCTCCCTGCTTCCTCCTCCCACCTCGGAGCTGCTCTTGGGCTGGGGGTAGGTTAAGGGGGCTATGGGTCCCCCTCCCTCCCCCCTCCACCTGGTCCTGCACCTCCTCTGGGAGGAGGGCCCTTAGCAGGAGCGGTGGCAGCAGGAGCAGTGGCGGCGGTGTGTGCTGGCTGGAGGTGTGTTCTCCCCCCTCCCTCCCTGGAGGTCATTCTTCTCTGGACACGCCCTCTTCTAGGGCAGGCAGCACCTCTAGGCCCAGGCCCCCAGCACTCTGGCTGCTGGAGAAGCTTGCCGCGGTGTGCAGAAGCATGAGCATGAACACAAGGACGCACAGGCGGATCCTGCTGGGGCTGAGACAGGAGCCCCCCGAGACGGGCAGCAGCAGCGAAGAGGGCCTGTATACTGAGGGGGCCAGCAGGTGGTGGTGGGAGGGGGGCAGCTGCTGGTGCTGGGAGGGCTCGGGGAATGCTTGTCCCCCCCAGGAGGAGCCCTTGCTGCCCCCCAGGGAGGCACAGGGCTTCAAGTCCACCTCACAGCACTCGGCCTCCTCTGGGCCCCGCGGGCTCTCCATCACCCCTGCCAACAGACAAGTGGGCGACTTGGGCTTGGCAGCTGGGGAGCACTGGCCAGGCCTTGCCTGGGCAACTGTTTCCCAAAGCCTGGCCCTTCCCAAAGACACTGAGCCCTGTCCTCCTCCCCGTAGCTCTCCCTACGTCCCCTAGTCTAATATGAGGGTGTGACTGGGGGGGGGGGCGGGAAAGAGGTAGTGGCCACCCAGTGAGTCCCTTGGCTGAGGCCCTGGCCCTGCTCCCAATCCAAACATTTCCCTGCCCTGGCCTGACTTTTTTCTCCCCCAACCCCAACTACCCTTACTCCCCTCCTCCACCTGGCACTCTCCATGCCCTCTGCCCTCCCCTCCCCCACTCTACCTGGTGCCCTCCATACCCCTCCCCCCTGACCTGCACAGATGAAGCCGGGGAGCCCTCCATAGATCAGCTCATCATTGTCGGGGAGCACAAAGGGGCACCTGGTCTGCACCTCCAGACAGTATTGCTTGCATGGCACCCGGGGATGGCAGTTCTGTTGGGTCACATTGAAGTATTCAGAGCACAGCCAGGCCTTGTAGACAGCCTGGGGAGAGAGGAGACAGTGTCACCCTCAGGGGCCATCCCTCCCCCAGCCTGAGCCTGCCCCCCCCCCCACCCTGAAGCTCCCTGGAGCCTTCCATTTACAACAGTTTGAGTAAGGGATCCAGGAAACGGATTTCATGATAGAAGGAGGGGAGGGCCAGGGACCCTGTGCTGTGCCCTGGGTCCTTCTGTCTCTCATTCATAAGATAATGCATTGTAGAAGCAGAACATATTAGGGCTGAGAAGGACCTTAGAACATAGAACAAAGAATGTTAGAGCTGGAAGGATGAGCTAGGTGACCTTGGACAAGCTACTTCACCTCTCAGCCTCAGTTTCCCTATCTGTAAAAGATAGGTTGAATTAAGTGGTCTCTAAGGTCCCTTCCAGCTCCGAATCTCTAATCTTGGAGAATATCTGCTCCATATAAGAGCCAGTTTCCTCAACTGTAAAATAATTTGCCCAAGGTCACCCAGCTAGTTAGTGGCAGAGTTGGCACCTGACAATCCTAGACCCACCACCTAGGGACCCATACCAGGAACCCAGCAACCATACTATGATGCCTCAGAAATGCCTCTGGTGACATTCCCCAGGAGAGTAGAAGCTCCTTGGGGGCAGTCCTTTTTCACTTGTTGTCTTTGTAACCCTGGTGTCTAGCCCAGAACCTGGCACATAGTAGGCACTAAGTAAATCTTTGTTGGGTAGAGTTGAGCTGACATATGCCAAGAGTCTGGGGAGAATACGTCAGGGGAAATGTATTACCAGTGCCACAGCCTGAGAGGTTGGTGTGTCACCCCAAGGGCACCTAGCATCCCAAGGTGGGTCATTGCAAACACTCTCCCAGCCAGAGAGTCATAGCCAGGGACCCCTGGAGAGCAGTGAAGAAAAGAGGTGAAGATGGGGAAAAAAAAAAGCAAAAGGAAGCCAGAGAAGGAGAGGGTCTCAACTTCCCAGGAAACAGGAAAGGGCTCAGATCCCTTAAGCACCTTAAGGAGCTCAATGCCACCTGAAGTAGTTGAAATAGAGAAAAGAGAGAATCTTCAGAATGTACCAAGGAAGACAAGGGAGCTAGACTTAGTTATATTGAGTTGGATATCCTCCCCCACCTCCATCCCTGTCCCCACTCCTGACACCCAATCAAAGTACAGGGGGCCCAGGGTGGAGATTTGAGATATGTCCATGTTAACAGGTGTGGGAGGTGGTGGTGGGTTGGGGGATGGGGGTGACTTTTTGCTGGAAACAAAAGAGTCTAAGAAGGAGCGCTCAGAGAGGTAGGAGGAGAACCAGTCCAAAGCAAGCAGTACCATGCAAAGCCAGAGAGGAGAGTGTCTACAGCGTCCAAGGCTGCAGAGAGGTCAAGAATGAGGACCGAGAAAAGGTCGTTGGATCAGCAATGACCAACTCGGCGGTGCCTTCAGGGAGCAGTTTCAATTGAATGATGATGTTGAAGTTGAGAAATGAGTGAAAGGGGAGAAAAGGAGGCCCAAAGCTGAGGCAGCTTTTTTCTAGGACTCATTAGGAGTCTATGAGCACCTACAGAGTCAGAGTCAACCAACCTGAGGCCCATGTAGCAAAATATTCCCTGAAAGGACACACAGTGAAATCTTCCAAGCTGAGAAGTCTGAAGGCCTGTCATTGTACTCAGGACTGGGTTACTATGGCAAAGACAGCACGGTGTACTGGACAGACCACTTACAGGGTCTGGCCCTGGAGGCAGGAGAGACCTGCCTTTGACATTAGCTGCATTGGCATGAGGAAATCACTGAACCTTTCTGAGCATCTGGTGCCAAATATGTAAAATGGCAACTAGAACAAATCATATATAATTATGTTACATAATTATATAGAATATATATAATATTTCTTCTCAGGAACATTATAATACTATCTGTAGTACCCCCAAAGAGTTTTAGGAGGATCAGATGGAAAGTGCTTTGTGATTTAGGGGCCCTGGCCCTGTTAACTCGGGTTCAGAAAGTCACCTTCACAAGCAGGAAGTAAGCAAACATGCTTCTTTAGTGCCTCCTATGTGCCAGGCACTGTGCTAAGCACTTTTTACAAATATTGTCTCACTTGATCCTCACAATAACCCTTCGAGATAGGTGCTCTCCCCAAAATGAGACAAAAAAAAAAGGATTAAGTGAGTTGCCTGGGGTCACACAGCTAGTAAAGTATTGGAGGCCAAATTTGAACTCGGGTCTTCCTGACTCCAGGGGCAGTACTCTATCTACTGCACCATCTAGCTGCCTCCAGGTGAAATTACAAGAGACATGGGTCATGGCTAGACTGAGGAAGACCTCGGGGTTGTAGTGGACCACAATATGAGTCACTTTTATGATCTGGCAGCCAAGAAATCAGAAGGAATCTTAGATCGTGTGAAGAGAGGCCTGGTGTCCAGACCTAGTGGTCATAACCTGTGGTCAGGACACATGTGGGGTATTGTGTTCAGTTCTAGGCAGGTGCTACAGCTGAGAAAGGACATTGGTAATCTGAAAGAATTAAGAAGGAAGTGACCGGGATGATGAAGGACCTTAAGATAATGCCAGATGAGCACAGTTCAGCCTGGAGAAGAGAAGTGGAGGCAGTGCCAGGGAAAGCATGGGATCACCGGCTTCAGGTAGTTTAAGGGCCATCACATAGAAGAGGGCCTAGATTTGCAGAACTGGGAGAAACAGAGGAAAGTTCTTCCTCTGAAGAGTGGCAGCTCCCTCCTCTCTTGAGGGAAGGCAGGATGCCCTCTCATCAACATGTTCCCGTGGGGATCCCTTTGGGGTTGGGGTTGGACTAGAGAGCCAGCTTTGATAGTCTGAGAACCTTCAAGCCCTCCACAGATGTTATTAAAAGATGAGGAAGGATTAAAAGGGTCAGTAGTGTTGGCAACTGGGAAGGCCTGATACTCTAGGAAGTAACCAGCTCATCCAGTGCTCTGGGCCTGCTCACCTCCTGCCTCGCCCCCTCCCATCAATGGGACCTTTGCATCATCTTAACTCAGAAAGGGGTTGAAATTGAAAGCAACCCCATTCCTGGGGGGGCAGGGATAGAAGGGGAAAGAGCGCCCTCCTGTGGACTTTTTGTAATTGGAGTGAAACCCAGGTATCTAGGTGGGAAATGATGTGAGGACCCGGGATGAGAGCCCCTATTTCATCTCCAGCACCCACTGCAGCTGCCTAGTAATAATAATAATAGTCACAATGACATCTAGCATTTCTATAGCACCTACTATGTGTCAGGTAGCCTAGTAAGTGCTTTACAGATAGCATCTCACTGGATCCTCACAACCACCCTGGGAAACAGGTGCTATTATTAGCCTCATTTTACAGTTGGGAAAATTGATGTAGACAGAGGTTAACTAACTTGCCCAAGGTCACACCTCAGTCAGTGTCTGAGGCTGGATTTGAACTCAAGTCTCCTTTCCTCCAGGCCCAGTGCTCTATCCACTGTACCAGCTAGCTACTCCTTATTATTATTATTATCTGAGTATCTCTGGGGATGGAGAATTCGCCCTCTCCCAGAGCAGTGCATTCCACTTTGGAATAGCTCAGATACTTAGGGTCAGAATCGGCCTCTTTCCCCCATTTGCTCCTGGTTCTGGCCTCTGGGACCAAGCAGAAGAAGTGTCAGTCCTCCAAACACTTGCAATGCCCTAAATGGTGGATACTCATGCTCCCTGCTTTGCAGGGCTGCTGTGAGGAAAGAACTTTGCAGACCCTAAACCACTACAAAAACTGGAATTCTTCTTTTTTTAATTGAAGAAAGACATCCTGTGTTGGTCCCCCCCCCCCCCCCCCGCCCCAGTCTCCACTTGTCCAGGTTAAACATTCCCAGGTCCTTTGGGCACAGACGAGTGGCTTGGTCTCCAGCACTAGCCTGCCAAGGCAGTTGTTTTTGTCTCTGATTTTTCTCCCAATTTTTTTGTCTATTGCTTTGGCCTTAACATTCCTTGTTGTTCCACTAGTCCTTCTGCATTCTTCTTTTCAGGGGATCCATTGCTTTACCAAGGGTTTCCAGCCATTGTTCACTCCAAGCCATCTAGTTCCTGTCCAGTTTTTCCTTCAGAATTCTAATTGCACTCTGCTTTCTTCCCTCAGCTCTCTCCTTAAGTGTTCTAATCAACAATTGATTGAGTACCTGCAATGTGCTAGGTGCTTGAGATACAATGACAAAAAATGCAGTGGCCCAGTAGCCTACCATTCTATTAGAAAGGGCCAGATGCAAGCTGATCAGGACAGGGGACAGTTGGACTATCATTTCTCTCATTCCACTGGGCCAGACTATCCAGGCACTTAAGCAGGCTGCAGGATCCAGCCCATCTTACCTCTTGCCCAATGCCAAGGGAGCTTGCAGGGCTACACACCAGGGTTATCCACCTCAGTAATAAGGCAGAGAGAAGAAGGGACTTGCCCCCCGTTGCATCTAAAGGGAGCTGAATCCCCACTGGAGGCTAGTAGTAGGAGTGGGAGCCACAGTGCCTCATCTGGATCTAGGCTGGGGGGGAGATGTGGCTTGGGGTGGGGAAGGGCTGCAGTATTCTCTTGCCTTGGTGTTCCCCAGGAAAGGGGAGGGGAAAGTAGCCAGGTACTACAATAGTCTGACCTTGTAGTCCGTGCTGCAGCGGCAGCGTTGTGATTGGCTGACAGTCAACTACGACTGGGCAAATGGAGAACCCAGTGGGGATTCAGCTTCAGTGCTTCCTAAGGCAGCGATCTCCAGGCTTTGGGGAGCCACACCCCGATCCACAAAACAAAGTTGGAACACCTCCCTATACGTATACTTTTTCTTTATCAATTAAACACACATGCTATTGCACTAGTATATTATGTACATTATCAAACACAAGTGAAAGCAGACATTTAAAAGGGTGAGATCAAGATGAAATACCAATATTTTAAAATTAGTTTTTATTTTCACAGTACACAAACTTCTCTCACTAAAAAGGGTCCTTTTTTGCGTGAAGTCAATGTGAATGAATATGCTTCATTATTTTTGAAACCTTTGCTTGGAATT